AGTTTGAGGTTGCTGTGAGCTAGGCTGACGCCACGGCACTCTAGCCTGGGCAACACAGTGAGACTCTGTCTCAAAAAAAAAAAAAAAAAAAAAAACCGTGCAAAGGTTGTGAATAATAGGCAACCTACCTGTGGCTTGGTGAAGTTTTTGTTGATGCACCACTGAACGAAATGTTGCTGTGCAGCGTACAAACTCTTCTCGTCCGTCTTCTTACAATACACGCGAATCAGCTGCTCTGCAAATTTCTCTGGCAGAAGCTGTGAAACCTTTTTTAAAATGAACAGATGTCACCTTGAATTGACACATTAGAGAGATATCAGCTGTTCTCCAGGATCCTAAGTACCATTTTTTCTTTATTTCTTTTATTTTGTTCCCCGTAGAGATTGTTCCATTGCAACAAGTACCATTTTTGATGGTATCTTAAAAGCACCACATTGCTTTGCTATTTTATCCCAATTATAATCCAAAGAAAAAAATTTAAGGTAATTGTCATGTTGCAAAGTGTCTCACAATTTTATGTCTATTAGATCCAGAAGGTGGGATTGTGTTTGGGTGAGGAGCAATCTTAAAAGACTAAAGGTTTACATGTAGACTACAGACTCTCATAAAGAAGATATGCAAATTAGCACATTTAACTTACTTGATTTCAACCATATATTAGGTTATTAAGTATGGAATGTCTGATTTCCTTAAGCACTAAGTTTGACAGTTGATATCTCTGACATTTCACTTTGACACATCTTGGGTTTTTTTTTTTTATTGTGGAGGTACATCCTTATCTTTTCAAATGCATGTTTTGGCTTGTGATTATCTTTCAGATTTTTTTTAGAGCAATTTTTGTGAAACCACAGATAAGTGAAAAATTCATGTTATTTTTGAATATGAGTTCTGTCATGGAACCAATGTAGTACAGACGCTCAAAATACTAATGAAGTGTTTGGGAAGGGTGTAGCTAATGAATGCATAGTACATTGATGGTTTGAAAAGTTCCATTCTGGTGATTTTAATCTTGAAAAGGAGCCATGTGGGTGACCTGAGACCAAGGTGGATAATGATGAGCTGAAAGCTATAATGGAAGCAAATGCATCTCAACCTACACTTGAGCTAGCAGCAAAGTATGACAGTTATTCCAACAATATTGGATCATTTAAAACAAATGGGCAAGGTAAAGAAGCTGGATAGATGGGTACCACATGAATTAAACAAGCATCAAAAGAGAAATCAGGCCGGGCGTGGTGGCTCACGTCTGTAATCCTAGCACTCTGGGAGGCCGAGGTGGGTGGATTGTTTGAGCTCAAGAGTTTGAAACCAGCCTGAGCAAGAGCGAGACCCCGTCTCTACTAAAAATACAAAGAAATTAATCAGACAACTAAAAATATATAGAAAAAAAAATTAGCCGGGCATGGTGGCGCATGCCTGTAATCCCAGCTACTCGGGAGGCTGAGGCAGAAGGATCACTTGAGCCCAAGAGTTTGAGGTTGCTGTGAGCTAAGCTGAGGCCACGGCACTCACTCTAGCCCGGGGAAAAGAGTGAGACTCTGTC